CGCCCGGCGCGCTCGTTTTACATGTTTCCCGGTTGAGCAGCACGTACGCGCATAACCTGCTTAATCGACGATCGATAAGTTTTACTGTACTAATAATTTATTATTACACCATATTATACACGCAATTATATCAATACTGTAGCGCAAAGTATTGCAATATTTAGGCTAATTAAATTATTATATTATTAGTATAATAATTATAGCTACTAATAATTATATTATAATAATATACTAATAATTATATTATTAGTATAATAATATACTTATAATATATATTACCCACGGCAATGGATCTATTATTAGGGGTGGCCCACCCTAATAATAGATCCATTGCCACGATTGCCACTGAGTAGCTGACTGATGTATTCCGTCAAAATGGCTGACACACGGCTAGGGGTCACGTGACTGGGAGATCCCTATAGGCACGATGGAGGACGAAGGATACACACAGTGGAGCAATGCGGAGGTTTCATGTATTTTGAGTGTTTGGGGCGAAGAGACAGCAGGCAATAAATGCAGGGTTGTTACAGGAATAAATCCGTGTTTGAAGACATTTCACGAGATATGGGGAGGCACGGGTTTAAGCGCTCCTGGCTACAGTGCCAACAAGGGCTCTCCTCTTTTTTCCCCGCCGTATGAGACCAATGTTTTGCTGACTTTTTTGCTGACTTTTAAAAAATATTATGGAAAGCAAAACACTGGATAATTTTATTCGCATCGGATATAGTCAGAAAATCGGATTTGGGCATCAAGACCTGCAGTGTAAATGCAGCCAAAGAGTCAGGTAGTGCGCGTCAGGTGGTGCGCGTCAGGTGGTGTGCGTCAGGTGGTGTAAGAGTCAAGTGGTGTCCGTCAGGTAGTGTAAGAGTCAGGTGGTGCGCGCGCCAGGTAGTGCGCGTCAGGTGGTGTAAGAGTCAGGTAGTGCACATCAGGTGGTGTGCGTCAGGTGGTGTGCGTCAGGTGGTGCGCATCAGGTAGTGTGCGCGTCAGGTAGTGTGCGTCAGGTGGTGCGCGCGCCAGCTAGGGCACGTAAGGTAGTGTGCGTCAGGTGGTGCGTGCGCCAGGTAGTGCGCGTCAGGTGGTGCGTGCGCCAGGTAGTGCGCGTCAGGTGGTGCGCGCGCCAGGTAGTGCGTGTCAGGTGGTGTAAGCATCAGGTGGTGTCCGTCAGGTAGTGTAAGAGTCAGGTGGTGTGCGTAGGTTTCATGTATTTTGAGTGTTTGGGGCGAAGAGACAGCAGGCAATAAATGCAGGGTTGTTACAGGAATAAATCCGTGTTTGAAGACATTTCACGAGATATGGGGAGGCACGGGTTTAAGCGCTCCTGGCTACAGTGCCAACAAGGGCTCTCCTCTTTTTTCCCCGCCGTATGAGACCAATGTTTTGCTGACTTTTTTGCTGACTTTTAAAAAATATTATGGAAAGCAAAACACTGGATAATTTTATTCGCATCGGATATAGTCAGAAAATCGGATTTGGGCATCAAGACCTGCAGTGTAAATGCAGCCAAAGAGTCAGGTAGTGCGCGTCAGGTATACGCGTCAGGTGGTGCGCGTCAGGTGGTGTAAGAGTCAAGTGGTGTCCGTCAGGTAGTGTAAGAGTCAGGTGGTGCGCGCGCCAGGTAGTGCGCGTCAGGTGGTGTAAGAGTCAGGTAGTGCACGTCAGGTGGTGTGCGTCAGGTGGTGCGCATCAGGTAGTGTGCGCGCCAGCTAGGGCACGTAAGGTAGTGTGCGTCAGGTGGTGCGTGCGCCAGGTAGTGCGCGTCAGGTGGTGCGTGCGCCAGGTAGTGCGCGTCAGGTGGTGCGCGCGTCAGATAGTGCGCGTCAGGTGGTGCGCGCGTCAGATAGTGCGCGCGCCAGGTAGTGCGTGTCAGGTGGTGTAAGCATCAGGTGGTGTCCGTCAGGTAGTGTAAGAGTCAGGTGGTGTGCGTCAGGTGGTGTGCGTCAGGTAGTATGTGCCAGGTAGTATGTGCCAGGTAGTGTGTATCAGGTAGTGTGCGCCGGGTAGTGCGTATCAGGTAGTGTGCGCCAGGTGGTGCGTGTCAGGTAGTGTAACAGGGTGTCTACAGATATAAACAAGTTAAATTTAAGACTTTTTAAGACCTTTTTAATGCCACTTTGAATACAATTTAAGACCAAACCTGTGATGAAAATACACATTCTATTACATGCGTATATGTAATATTTAACCTAAGTAATTGAAGTAATTTAATATGAACTGCTTCAATGTATGAATCAATATGAATCAATGTAACATTTGTAATCGTGAGAAGATTCAGCAAAATAGCTCCATCATGTTATGTTACTTAACTTTATGATATTTTATAAACAAAAAACTAAACATTTTGAGTTTTTACTGTAGTATGTTTTATCTTCTGTGAGTTTTTTTATGTGTGCTGTTATGCTCATTTGTTTTGATTTCTCACTATAAAATCTCTCACAGAGACAGGCAGCGAGTCTCAACAGCGCTACCAGAAATACATTACCAATCGCTGTTTATCAGGGACGTGCAGAGATCGAGTTCCTCAGGGGCAGGGGCTCAAATGTAAAAAGGGGCATATATATATATATATGTGTATATATATATACACAGTATATATATATGTGTGTATATATATAAAAAAAATTTATGTACCGGCCACAAGTTTGGACACTAATGTTTTTGAAAGAAGCCTTTTATGCTCATCAAGGCTGCATTTATTTTATCTAAAATACAGAAAAAACTGTAATATTGTGAAATATTTCCACAATTTATAATATATAACTACTATTATAATATACTTATAACCTTTGATACTTTTTATAGTTAAAAAAAAGAAAAATTTATTTAAAATAGAAATATTTTGTACCAATATACACGACCGTTCAAAAGTTTGGGGTCAGTAATATTTTTTTTCTTTTAAAAAATTAAAATAAATAATGGGCTATTTTTTGATATGTGCTAAATTGATCAAAAGTGACAGTAAAGACCTTCTATTTTAATTAAATACTGTTCTTTTAAACTTTTTATTCATCAATGAATCCTGAAAAAAGTATCACAGGTTAAAAAAAATTGTTTCTGACATTCTGAAAAATCATGTGACACTGAAGACTGGAGTTATGGCTGTTGAAAATCCAGCTTTGTATCACAGAAATAAATGATATTTTTAAAATAGAAAAACATTTTAAATGGTAATAATATTTTTCTGTATTTTTGATCAAATAAATGCAGGCTTGATCACATAAGACTAAGAGACTACACACAATAGGCCTGTAGGTCGCGCCTGTGTTTCATTTAACCAACTATGATAGTTTGATTAAATGGTAAACGCATCAATATACATAGACTAAATAAAAAGTGACTTTAATACTAGGCCTACTTTAGCCTGGCATGCCAGACCTACATCAAGATGTTAGGTCTGGGAACTCTCCATTGACATGACTCAATCCGAGGGGCGGGATAAACGGTTACCTTTCGAAATCCCTCTGCACGCAATAGGATAGCGCTACAACCAACCAGAGCAACGAACGGTTGTGGATGAGTGAGTCCCATGCGTTTTTCCACCAGCGGAGCTCATTGGTATATTAAACTTTTGCCGTATCAGGACGGCAAAACTCCGAACACATCTTCCTTTTTTAAGAATGACTTAAGTGACGTTCTCTTAACTCCAAGTCCTCCAGAGTCGCGGCCAAAGCCGATTCGAAAGACCGCTGCATCTTCATTGTTTTCAACTAGCAGGGAAATCACCTATGGAAATCACGCGGAATGTCATGAACTGTGCCGTCATTGTGTTAAGCCCGCCCGCCGACTCTATACACGATGTGATTGGCCTGACCAGTCTTTGGTTTTTCCAGCTCAAAAGCCTATGGAGAGTTGCTAGACCACACTGGCGGCGAAATAATTTTCGCTGCCACTAGGGTGCGTCTAGATTTCTAGGCTAGGCCTACTTACCAGTAATGTGACTTTTGGTGCTGGTTTTGTGCAGTGCTTTGTAGTCAATTAACATCCATTGTTTAATTCAGATCACTTCATAAATGTTAATTCGTTTGTCCATCTATTTTCAAACGATTTATGAATGACTGGAAAATTACCGCTCCACTTCACATTGTCTAATGACATTTTTAACTTCTTGTGCCAGATAACGATTGGTCGGTGTATTATACATTACAAACAGGCTTCAATGAATTCTGTAATATTTTTAATTGAATCGACGCACTACCTTTTATTATTGAAAAAAAAAAAAGTTTTGTTCATTCCTTCCTGCCGTCGAGCAATATACTCACTGAAATAACTATATTTGGCTCGAGAACATCAGTTCCCGAGCAGACTGTGGAATACCTATGTTTACACTAGTGCATTGTCATTTTAAAACACATAACTTTTGCTACGGTTACGCCTGCCGTCCATACATTACTCCAGAGTTTTAGACCCTCGTCCCAAGCAAGACACGCAACTTGACGCAAGTGACGCAACGCGTTGTGGCAACGACACCTCAGATTGACAGAAACGTAAAAATAAACGTGAATTTTCCCGCTTCGATGCTTCACTGGTTATTTGACGGACATTGGGTCCGCCACACTGGAGAAATGTTAGCGGTAATGTGACCAGAAATATTTAAGACCCATTGAATCTGAATTTAAGACATTTTAATACTTTTTAAGGCCTTTTATTAGGAAAACTTTATTTAAGACTTTTTAAGGACCCGCGGCCACCCTGTGTAAGCGTCAGGTGGTGCGCGTCAGGTAGTGTTAGAGTCAGGTGGTGTGCGCCAAGTAGTGCGGATCAGGTAGTGTGCGTCAGGTAGTGTGCGTCAGGTAGTGTGCGTCAGGTAGTGTGCGCCAGGTAGTGTGCGTCAGGTAGTGTGCGTCAGGTAGTGTGCGCCAGGTAGTGTGCGCCAGGTAGTGTGCGTCAGGTAGTGTGCGCCAGGTAGTGTGCGCCAGGTAGTGTGCGCCAGGTAGTGTGCGTCAGGTAGTGTGCGCCAGGTAGTGTGCGTCAGGTAGTGTGCGTCAGGTAGTGTGCGCCAGGTAGTGTGCGCCAGGTAGTGTGCGCCAGGTAGTGTGCGTCAGGTAGTGTGCGCCAGGTAGTGTGCGCCAGGTAGTGTGCGCCAGGTAGTGCGCGTCAGGTAGTGTGCGTCAGGTAGTGTGCGCCAGGTAGTGCGGATCAGGTAGTGTGCGTCAGGTAGTGTGCGCCAGGTAGTGTGCATCAGGTAGTGTGCGCCAGGTAGTGTGCGCCAGGTAGTGTGCGTCAGGTAGTGTGCGCCAGGTAGTGTGCGTCAGGTAGTGTGCGTCAGGTAGTGTGCGCCAGGTAGTGTGCGTCAGGTAGTGTGCGTCAGGTAGTGTGCGCCAGGTAGTGTGCGCCAGGTAGTGTGCGTCAGGTAGTGTGCGTCAGGTAGTGTGCGTCAGGTAGTGTGCGCCAGGTAGTGTGCGTCAGGTAGTGTGCGTCAGGTAGTGTGCGCCAGGTAGTGTGCGTCAGGTAGTGTGCGTCAGGTAGTGTGCGTCAGGTAGTGTGCTTCAGGTAGTGTGCGTCAGGTAGTGTGCGTCAGGTAGTGTGCGCCAGGTAGTGTGTGTCAGGTAGTGTGCGTCAGGTAGTGTGCGTCAGGTAGTGTGCGTCAGGTAGTGTGTGTCAGGTAGTGTGCGTCAGGTAGTGTGCGCCAGGTAGTGTGTGTCAGGTAGTGTGCGTCAGGTAGTGTGCGTCAGGTAGTGTGCGTCAGGTAGTGTGCGTCAGGTAGTGTGTGTCAGGTAGTGTGCGTCAGGTAGTGTGCGTCAGGTAGTGTGCGCCAGGTAGTGTGTGTCAGGTAGTGTGCGCCAGGTAGTGTGCGGATCAGGTAGTGTGCGTCAGGTAGTGTGCGTCAGGTAGTGTGCGTCAGGTAGTGTGCGTCAGGTACTGTGCGTCAGGTAGTGTGCGTCAGGTAGTGTGCGTCAGGTAGTGCGCGTCAGGTAGTGTGCGCCAGGTAGTGTGCGTCAGGTAGTGTGCATCAGGTAGTGTGCGTCAGGTAGTGTGCATCAGGTAGTGTGCGTCAGGTAGTGTGCGCCAGGTAGTGTGCGTCAGGTAGTGTGTGTCAGGTAGTGTGCATCAGGTAGTGTGCGTCAGGTAGTGTGCATCAGGTAGTGTGCGTCAGGTAGTGCGCGTCAGGTAGTGTGCGTCAGGTAGTGTGCGTCAGGTAGTGCGCGTCAGGTAGTGTGCGTCAGGTAGTGTGCGCCAGGTAGTGCGGATCAGGTAGTGTGCGTCAGGTAGTGTGCGCCAGGTAGTGTGCGCCAGGTAGTGTGCGCCAGGTAGTGTGCGTCAGGTAGTGTGCGTCAGGTAGTGTGCGCCAGGTAGTGTGCGTCAGGTAGTGTGCGTCAGGTAGTGTGCGCCAGGTAGTGTGCGTCAGGTAGTGTGCGCCAGGTAGTGTGCGTCAGGTAGTGTGTGTCAGGTAGTGTGCATCAGGTAGTGTGCGTCAGGTAGTGTGCATCAGGTAGTGTGCGTCAGGTAGTGCGCATCAGGTAGTGTGCGTCAGGTAGTGCGCATCAGGTACCATGTTGAGAGGAACAGCAGCGTAGCTCTCCACTCCCAGCACTTGCGTGAGGAAAACTGGGTTACAGTTCCTTCCAATCCAGAGATACAGGACCTGAAAGAGACAAATGCTGAACTCACTCATATTGTTCAAGTCTTCATCTTGCTGCTAGAATGATTGTTTTGTACACTGTAATGGATTATAAGACAATTAAACAGGATAGATTTTAAAGCGCTCTCTTTTCAAATCAAGATTTCATTATTTATGCGATGAAAAGTTGTGTAATATCCGATTGTTGAGATTGTTCGCTCATGTGTGTGTGTGTACTCATTGTGCCACAGTCCATGAGGAAGGCAGCGTCTCTGTATGTGTGTGTGTGTGTGTGTGTGTACTCACTGTGCCACAGTCCATGAGGAAGGCAGCGTCTCTGTGTGTGTGTGTGTACTCACTGTGCCACAGTCCATGAGGAAGGCAGCGTCTCTGTGTCTGTGTGTGTGTGTGTACTCACTGTGCCACAGTCCATGAGGAAGGCAGCGTCTCTGCTCAGCTTCTCCACAGACAGCTGGAGCGCTCTGGGCTGAGGGATCGTGCGCTCGCTGATGTTCAGCGCCCCCTGTGTGTGAGAACACGCATCACATCATCATACAGGACACATATGAACACACACACACACACACACACATCATCATCATACAGGACACATCTGAACACACACACACACACACACACACACCACATCATCATACAGGACACATCTAAACACACACACACCACATCATCATCATACAGGACACATCTGAACACACACACACACACACACACGCACACACGCACACACACAAGCTATGTGCTGAACCTTTATTGAAGCTCTGAAGCCTCACTGAACTTCACTCTGCTTCCTCAAGTCTGTAAGCGGACTGGTCCCCCATTGTCCCCCCACTGGTTCCCCACTGTCCCCCATTGTCCCCCATTGTCCCCCCACTGGTCCCCCACTGTCCCCCCACTGGTTCCCCACTGTCCCCCATTGTCCCCCCACTGTCCCCCATTGTCCCCCCACTGTCCCCCCACTGGTCCCCCACTGTCCCCCCACTGGTCCCCCACTGTCCCCCCACTGTCCCCCACTGGTCCCCCACTGTCCCCCACTGGTCCCCCACTGTCCCCCATCTGGTCCCCCACTGTCCCCCACTGTCCCCCCACTGTCCCCCACTGTCCCCCACTGGTCCCCACTGTCCCCCACTGTCCCCCCACTGTCCCCCACTGTCCCCCCACTGTCCCCCACTGTGCCCCCACTGGTCCCCCCACTGTGCCCCCACTGGTCCCCCACTGTCCCCCCACTGGTCCCCCCACTGTCCCCCACTGTCCCCCCATTGTCCCCCCACTGGTCCCCCCCTGTCCCCCCACTGTCCCCCCACTGGTCCTCCCACTGTCCCCCCCACTGTCCCCCACTGTCTTTTAGCGCTTTTCCATTACCAGTACCAGCTCGCCTCGGCTCACTTTTCGCTCCGGTTTCCATTACCAGACCACCCGGTCGTCATAGCGACGCCGCAGGAAACTGCCGTGACGTAATCTTATACGCGAGGATACGAATCTAGTCTGCACCTCCTCGTTTGACCACGGCGTATTCATCCGAGTTGCCATAATAATAGTAGTAAGTTTAGTAACTATCTCTGGCCAAACTATTTAAAAATGGCGGGGTTATTCTGGATACTCCATCTGGCGCGTACAATGATGACGCAGTGAATAGTGACGATTCTCTCTGACCAATCAGCAGTCGGCATTGTTTTCACGTCACATTTTAGTATCGCCTCAGCTCGCTCAGAACCTCGCCGGAGGTGATACAAAAAAAGTACCCGAAAGCAGGTACAGGTCCAACTTGCAACAAACCAAACAAAGGCGAGCCGAGGCGAGTCGAGCTGGTACTGTGCAGTGGAAAAGCGCCATTTCAGATCCACCGCTATAAACCAGTCTCCGGGTCGAATTTGCGCGATGATCTGTTTTATCGTGATCATTTTGAACGCGTGTTTAGCAAGTCTTATGCCACTCGGTACCACTTGAAGATTCTCTTTAATCTTTACCGCTACGGAGGAATTTCGTAATGTCTAATGTATTAATAGGGCCACCAGAAGGCAACCTAAGCACAATAAGTAGAAGGCTATAGGTAATTGTAAATCATACAAAATAAATGCTATGATCACTAGATTTTATACAGGTGTTACTATAATGATTTTGTTAATGGTGATCAGCAACCAAATATTGATAATGTGGAAGTTACGGCCTTTTGCCTTGGCATGACTTCTCACTTTTTGCTGACAATACAAAGGCAGAGTACAGTAACTTTAAAATAGTGGTCAAAAGTCAAGTTTGAGCTCAAAATTTTATGTAGATCATTTTCATTACTTAAACATCTAATTGCCAGATTTTCAGTGTCCTACCTATAATTAATTTGGCGGGACAACTAAAAATCTTTAAAGTCATTTTTCTCAGTTCCACACCCTAGCGAGTGAAAGTCCCTGTAAAGTCAAAATTAAGTATGTGTTCTGAGTTTGTCACACCACAGAAAAATGTGTTATTAGCCACCCAGCCAAATTTGAATGATAAAAAAAGCCGGCAAGTACATAAAATAAGCTATCAAAATCTTGAAAAAATGAGCATTATTCTCTGCTCTCAAACGCTGGGGGCGTGTCCGCTGTGGGGGCGTGTCCACTGTGGGGGCGTGTCCGCTGTGCGGGCGTGTCCGCTGTGGGGGCGTGTCCGCTGTGGGGGCGTGTCCGCTGTGGGGGCGTGTCCGCTGGTCCTCCACTGTACTACACACTGACTCAACTCTTTTCTATAGTACTGTTATATATTGTATTGACAACTCATATATTAAATATTTACCATCGTATATTCGGCATAATTGGATGTTTTTAAATAAACACTGACAAAAAACTACACAAGTGTTATTTGTGAGACGTCCTCGGTGAGAACGTCAAGAGCGCGTAAGTTGTTTTTTCTTAATATACAGTTCTCCTGTTGCTCTGTTTACCATTTGTCAAGTAAGTAGGGCTATTTTCGATTCTTTGCTTCTTTGTAATTTTTATCTTCACTAAATATCTTTATTTTAATTAGTCGCGTTCCTATTTTGAATATCTGCCGTCTTAAGGGTTGGAGTCTGTTTGTTATTGTAGCACTTAAGTATTGCTGTTCATAACAGCTAGTTTCGATTTGGGCCATTGTCGGGATACTTGCTTTCGCTGTGCTAATTGCAAGGGCTACCACAGCTGTCCTCACTCAGACGATTTATAGCATTATTTCTATGTAGTGTGCGCGCTGTCGCGGAAGCGTCAGCGGAAGCATTCAGCTCTCGTGTTCAGCCTCCTCATGTGAAGACCGACTCGGGTAAAGACCTGCGACTCTACCTGCGCGACTCCACCGAGCAAGGACACCTGCAAGGCACTTAAAGTATCTTCTTCACCCTTTCCTTTCCTACCTTTATCTTATTTCCCATTATCATTATGTGCTTTGAACACATTCCTGTTGTCTCTCGACAACGCTCTCTCACCACGCACAGAAGGCAGCGCAATACTGCTTATCTGCGCCCGTTTCTCTCATCCTCACACTCACCTCTGACTCTTTCTATGGGTCTATGGAATTGTCAATCAGCAGTCAATAAAGCTGACTTCATTCCAGCCTTTGCATCTCATTCTACTCTTAATATCTTGGGCTTGACTGAGACCTGGATCCGTCCAGAAGACTCAGCAACCCCTGCTGCTCTCTCTAACAACTTCTCTTTCTCTCACACACCTCGCCAGTCCGGGAGGGGTGGGGGCACTGGTCTCCTCATTTCTAACAATTGGAAATATTCAACTCTCTCTTCTCTATGCAATAACAACTCATTTGAATATCATGCTATTACACTTACAACTCCCATGAAGATCCATATTGTAGTTATTTATCGCCCCCCAGGTCAACTAGGAAGCTTTGTAGAAGAGCTGGATGTGTTGCTGTCCTCTTTCCCTCAGGATGGCATCCCACTTGTAGTCTTTGGCGATTTCAACATTCACCTAGCGAAGCCGTATGCAACAGACTTCATCTCTCTCCTAGCCTCTTTTGATCTCAAACGGCTCATCACCACCGGTACTCACAAATCAGGCAACCAACTGGACCTGGTTTACACACGCAACTGTATCACAGACAACATTTTGGTGAAACCTCTCCAAGTTTCAGATCATTTCCTCATTACTTTCAATCTACAACTCACTACCCATGCTCCACCAACCTCCCCACCATTTACTTTCAGACGAAACCTGCGCTCACTTTCTCCATCCCATCTTTCCTCTGCTGTGTCATCTTCTCTTCCCTCACCCTCACATTTCTCATCTCTGGATGTGAATACTGCAACGGATACTTTATGCTCCATCCTAACCTCTTCTTTAGACAATATCTGCCCTCTCTCCTCTAGGCCAGCACGCACCACTCCCTCTAACCCCTGGTTATCTGAGGTTCTTCGTGAACACCGGACCAAGCTCAGGGCAGCGGAGAGGAAATGGCGCAAATCAAAAGACACATCTGACCTCAGTAGGTATCAATCTCTGCTCTCTGCCTTCTCTGTTGACGTTCACGCCGCAAAATCTTCATATTTCCACAACAAGATCAACAGCGCCTCTAACACACGTTCACTGTTCAAGACATTCAATTCTCTCCTCTGTCCACCTCCACCACCACCCACCTCCTCTTTAACTGCTGATGATTTTGCTAACTTCTTCACTAACAAAACTACCACTATCAGCAGTCTGTTCTCAGCACAGGAACCCAGACTAACCTCTCCCACAGCCAATAACCTTCTCTCCTCCTTCACTCCACTAACCGAGGAAGAAGTATCTAAACTTCTCCTCTCCAGTCATCCTACCACCTGCCCTCTAGACCCCATCCCCTCACACCTTCTACAAGCCATCTCTCCCACACTTCTACCAGCTCTCACACACATTATCAACTCATCCCTCCACACTGGCATTTTCCCTACAGCATTTAAGCAGGCTCGGGTAACCCCTCTGCTTAAAAAATCAACATTAAACACATCACTTCTAGAGAACTACAGACCTGTCTCTCTCCTACCATTCATTGCAAAAACACTTGAACGAGTTGCTTTTAACCAAGTATCATCCTTCCTGTCTCTTAACAACCAGCTGGATGTCAACCAATCTGGCTTCAAGAAAGGACATTCAACTGAGACTGCATTGCTGTCAGTCACGGAAGCCCTGCGGATCGCAAAAGCTGCTTCCAAATCATCAGTTCTCATTCTACTGGACCTGTCTGCTGCCTTCGACACTGTGAATCATCAGATCCTCTTGTCCGCCCTCTCATCACTGGGCATCACTGGAACCTCCCTCAACTGGTTTGAGTCCTATCTCACAGGTAGGTCCTTCAAGATCACATGGAGAGGTGAGGTATCCAAAGCACATCAACTGACCACAGGCGTTCCTCAGGGTTCAGTTCTCGGACCGCTCCTCTTCTCCATTTACACCACATCACTGGGACCCATCATACAGGCACATGGTTTCTCTTACCATTGCTATGCTGATGACACCCAGCTCTACCTCTCATTTCCACCAGATGATCCCACAGTAGCTGTACGGATCTCTAGCTGTCTGGCGGACATCTCGGCATGGATGAAGGAACATCACCTGCAGCTCAACCTGGCAAAGACTGAGCTTCTCGTCCTCCCTGCCAATCCGTCTCTTCAGCACGACCTCACTATCCAGGTAGATTCATCCTCAATCACCCCATCAAGGTCGGTCAGAAATCTTGGAGTAATCTTTGATGATCAGCTGACCTTCACAGACCACATTACAAAGACAGCTCGATCATGCAGGTTTGCTATGCACAACATCAGGAAGATCAGGCCTTTCCTAACTGAGCATGCAACACAACTTCTCGTCCAGGCCCTGGTCATTTCTAGGCTTGATTACTGCAATGCTCTTCTGGCTGGACTTCCATCATGTGCAACTAAACCTCTACAAATGATCCAGAATGCTGCAGCTCGTCTGGTCTT